AGACGCTCGCATTCAGTATTACTATAGAACCTGTGACATTGAGCTTTCCTTCACACTTATTGTTTGTCTTCACATTGATTAGATTCATCGCCTTTGTGCGTTCATAGAGCTAGTTTTCGACAACCCTAATATGTTGAAAAGTTGATGCATTATTGAAAGTTCTAACGTCTGAATTATTGTTAACACTTTTCCTCTTTTGATCTTAATTCCACGCGCAATGAACTCGTTAATTTAAAAATTAAATGCTCTCTCCTCTTACTAGACACAATTTGAAATTAGAGATATGAAAAAGTACATTAATAGTAACCAGCGTCGTTTTCTAACAGAATTTTGCTTCCCCTTTATTTATTCTGTTTATCGGTTATTTTTTATTTCCATTTTAGTATCTGGTGTAAATGCAAATCCTTCTAGAATGATTCCAACTATTGAGGTTGAGCCACCTTCTATCATGGCTTCTCCTACGCCACATCCCCCACTTGGTCGTCGTATTGTTCCAGCCTTTGTTCGCCAACGACTGAAAGATGAGTGTCTATTGCCGCTCCAGAATACGGAGGGCTCTTCATCGAAGTCCGTGTGGCCTCCGTTGGTCGTTTCTACAAATCCTGGTGAGTGTCCCGTGGCTCTTGGTTGCTTATTTATCAAGTTATGATCTAAAAGATTGTATGAGAGTTGTTCAATGCTCCTACTCGTTTCTTTTCTCTTACTTCTCTGATGGACATTCAGTTAAGCGATCTCCTTTCCTATTGGTTCACTCACAGACAACTGACCTCACTATAACCAATTACGACCTACATTTCTTGTTTAACTGTTATTGATCTTAGGACATCCAAAACACCTTATAGGCTTTAGTCCTAGAGAATTACTTAGACAGCTAGTGAGTCTAGTGGGGGGAATAGAATAGAGGAGAATATCAATAATAAATAGATTATCTAATTAGAGCGTTACCGGTCTTACTCTTTGAAGTCGTAGAGTTATACATATTGTTAGAGTTCACTTTGTAATTTGATGGGGCTCAATCTTCATAATTTGTCTTCCAGGTTAGTAGGTTTTCTCTGTATTTAAAAATTTTTAACTAGGTGATTAGGCAATCATGAGTGTCCGTCTTTTTTCCGCAGACGTGTGAGTGGTTGGATGAGATTAGCACTGAATATATTTTACTTGTAAAATTAAAAAAATTCCATAGGTAGGCGTTTTACAACTCTTCTACCGAGTAAAGAGCGGCGTCATATTGTCTCCATGTCGGCGAGACTCGAATTCCTTCACCCTGGACATATTATTAGCTAGACTTTAACACATGCAGTTGGCAATCCCGCTCATTGGAATCCCCGCTGATGGGAATTGGTCCTGTGAACAAAGTAGTTGCAGGCGAGGTGGTCAAAGCGGATTAATCTTGACTTTTCTGTTATCCAAGTGAATTACTCTTTGGGGTGGGGTGTAGTTGACAACCAAGTGGCGGCGAAAAAAATTATAGTACAAAGTTCGTTTCCTTTCATCATTACATATTATTACATGGAAATGGGGCGTGAAGGAAAATTTCAAAAAAAAATATTTATTTGTTTATATCAATTGGCAGGCCTTTTGATAGCTATCAATAGCCCTTTAGTTGACTTCAGGCTTCACAGGGGGAGGAATATCAAAGTGAGAAAAAGTCGAGAGGGGGGAACAGAAGAGTGCTACAAAGATGTAAAAGAGGCAGACACAAAGGTAGAAAAAAGGTGAGGTGAGTACTGTGGAAGTAGTCGAATGCAACATACAGTGGGGTGATGGTAGTTTGAAGTGGGGAGTCAACTGCCGTATAAGTATACGTTGCCCAGTGTGCATCACGTGAAAGATAATTTCAAAAAATAACTGCTTATATATGTTAACTTCCGATGTGATATTTTTGGGCATTTTACTTATTTTTTGCAATCAGATAATACGCCAATCCTTACATGAGCAGTGAGCTCATTTCTCTTTTCACTAGGTTGTATTGATTTGTGCAATGTTAAAAATATTATTGTTATTATTTTTTTTATTTCGAATGGCAGGTTTTATGATATTTATCATTAGTCCCATGTTAAAAATAGTGCTCCTAGCTTAATCATCTTTCAAGCAGTTGTAAGAAAATACACCTTTATCACGGTGGCGCGACAAACCCCAAAATAAGTTCGGATGACGTCGAGAGAATCTCTCCCCCCCTCCCTCCCCTCCTCCCCTTGAATTCTGAGCTAGGTAGTGAATCCAAGTCAAGTAGTTCTTGGTTTTCTTGCCTGGCTTCATTAACCACCAAGGGTGAAGGCCCGCCCTCTTTTCACTAAGCCCGCCATTTGACAAGAACAAATGGTAGTTATAATTTGCCCTTTTGTTGACTTGGCGCTTGCCAGAGGGGGAGGAACATCAAAGCCACATAACGTCGCAGGAGGAGGGGGGGGGGGGTTGGGGCGGACAAGAAGAGTGGCAGACACAAAGGTAGAGAGTAGGGTGTGGTGAGTACTGTGAAAGTGATGGAATATGGCGTACAGCCGGGCCATGGTATTTTGCAGTCAACTGCCTGTTTACAAACAATTTTTTGTCGCATGAGTTTACGCTGCCTGTGGTGCACCACGTGGAGGTAAGTCTATCGTGCACCCCGCCCCATGGAGTATTAGATCGAATGTACGCTTACTGGGAATGATAAACTACTGCGCTTATATTTTGAGGGATGGGATGTACCTTTGGCTTAGCCAATAAGAATTCGATTAAGCTACGTGAGCATGCGTGAGTAGTAGACTCAGGTGCTAAAGATGTTGGGGTCACTCGGTAGAGATGAAATTACCTCATCACCTCATTGAGGCAGAAAATTATTAAATGAAAATATCTACTTATCTACTCACTTTGATCCGATTGCATAGATCCTTTCTACTGGAGTTTAAGTCCCATGGTTGTCTTTTACTAATAATTCTTTTATCGTCATGTCTTTGTAAGTTTAAATTTGCTTTCATAATTTTCTTCTGCAAGGCTTCAAATTACTCGCTAGTCGACCATCCATTTTCCACTTCAATATAGCCGACAATTCAATTCTAAGCCCTTTATTATAGAACTAATTCTGGAAACGGATGTATCCGAAGATAGAATTGTGAGGCTTCTGTCAAGTGATGACCGCGCGGCAATCTTTGCAATCACCCGCAATCTGCATATTCGCGTCAGCATCTCAGTAAATAATGAATTCTGGAGTTTTATCTCTCACGGTCTGTATGGTCTTGGTCAAGAGGAGATTTGTCTTCTACTTCGTCGGAGAAGTGATGAAGCGTTACCGCCCATTGACTTTCTATGGTATTACCACTTACTGTATCAGCTCGCTTTCAGCCGTGGCCGTGGAATCGAAACATGTAAGCAATATACTACGCAATTCATTTTCAGTAGATTGTATTTATTAATTATTGGTACTTAACTTCAGCATACCAAGCTTCCTCAACGGTCTTCCCATTCGAGCATGGATCGTGTCTTCTTCTACCGAATCCCTCTAATCAACAACAAAATGATCACGAGCAGCAGGTTTCGAAAGCCCCACGGTCTGGTGGTGGTTGCCATGGTTTCCTCTTTATCCATGCAGTCCAAAAGCAGATGGAAGCTCTTTCTTCCCTTTTTACCTTTTTCCCACAACCTCCCTTCCTCTTTGCTGTCGTTCTGCGCAGTCAAACTGAAGTGGATCTTGCCAATCTGCAGCCACTGCGACTTTGGCATGCATTGAATCTCGCTAATGGAGGATCAGCCCCCATTTCCGACCGTGACAGGCGTCCCGTGTTTACGTCCGATAGTACTGCCGGAAATAGTGTTCTTTCCCTATGCAAAAGTGGCGGGTTGCCATATATTTCAATATCACAAATGAATATCCTCTCTTCTGGATGGGATAACTTTCAAGGGGAAATGAGATTGCAGATTCTGGTGAGTTTGAAGCAACATTTCTACTCATATTTATTATGTAGACTGAATTATTCACCTTATTTCCTCTTTAGCTCCGTCGTTCATGTCACGAGTGTATTCGACGTTCCTTGAATTCAGCAGCACATGGTGGAAATCTTCTTTGTCTTGGTGGCGATTTCTGTCCCAGTGCAGACTGTCATTTGGCGGTTGCAGATTCTAGTACTGGTCCAATTACTGAATTCACACCTCCGTTCTCGTCTGATCGAAATAGTTTGGTTCGTTTCTGTTAAGATAAAGAAAAATCATTTTAATTTCCACAATGCAGCCTTACAAGAGCAACAACACAATATTTCAAATTAGGGATGAGAGGGAGATTGGAAAGAAAATTTGGGCCATTATGAAAACCTAGCTTCATCGAGATCCTTGATCCTTCGTGTTGCTCATTCTTTACCGATTAGGATCGTTTGGTTGTGTTAGGTTTTAATTTCTTAATGTTCCCGTTTTCAATGAATTAATTTGTCCATATCGAATGACAGACGTTTTGATAGTTATCATTAGCCCTTTAGTTGACTTCGGGCTTCACAGAGGCGGGGGGAAGGGGGGGGGGACATTAAAGTCACAAAAATTCCAGGGGACGGGAGCAGAAGAGTTATTCACAGATGTAATAGAGACAGGCACAAAGATAGAGAAAACGGCAAGATAAGGTGAGTACTGCGGACGTGGTGAACTATGACATACAGTGGGGTAATGGTAGTTTGAAGTCAGAAGTCAAATGCCGGTTAATAGACTTTTTTGCCGTATGAGCATACGTTGCCCAGGGTGCACCACG